GGCACGCCCTCTCCTGTACCCGCCATTATTCCACTTTTTTTTTTTTTGGGGGGGGGGGGGGGGGGGGGGGCTTGTTTTTGTTTTTCTTAGACTGATGAAGCTGGATGGAAGGTAAATGTTTCAGCACAAAAAAAACAAAACTGTCCAGATGCCCTGAATTCAGACCAAAGTATTTCAATTGAATGATTAAATATGAAAAAAGCATGGTATGTCTGCTTTTAAGATATCTTTAATTATATTTTGACATGGCAAAATACTTATTTGGGATATACTCAACTATATTCTGACTAATAAAAATATATCTGTGAACATGTCACTCTTCGTGTTTATAAACCTTTTTTTTTTTTCCTATGCAGTGTCTTTTGAATCTGGACTTGGAATAAGGAGTTAAACTACCTCAGTAAGGTATGTTTTGTGGCCCCATTCTCCTCCCCTTTGCATTGGATATGTAAAATAAACAAAAACTAGATTAACTCGTACTCAAATCTGTTTACAGATGGCTTTAAGAATGAGAGCATGGTGAAAACACAAAAGAGACCTCGATCTACTTCTACGTTATTCTGACACTGAAGATGAGCTACAAGGCATTGAAAATAATTGCAGCAGTGTGCCTGTGACCCCACATAGCTTTAACAGTGACCGTGTTGAGACTTCAGATACCGGTAGTTTAGACTTTGATGCTGGTAGGAGGAGTCAAATGATGATGCTGAGGTGACCAGCAGCTTTGAAGATGACCTGAGACAATGGGCCTTAGACAATGGGCCTTAGAACACGCATTGACACACAGAGCACTTAATGGTTTATTGGCCATACTAAGAAAGCAAGGACACATATTGCTTGTGGATTGTCGTACACTCCTTGCTACACCACAATGTAACACCACGGAGCCTAAATGTGGTGGGCAGTACATGTACTATGGCCTAGAGAAGGGTATCTGCCGTTATTTAAGCCAGATAAAGAGCAACAATGTGCAGATTACTGTAAACATTGATGGTGTCCAACTTTTCAAAAGTAGTGGTGTCCAATTCTGGCCAATACTAGTGAGGTGTGGTAATTGGGATCCATTTGTTGTTGCTATGTTCAGTGGACAAAGCAAGCCAAGTCCACTTCAGGAATATCTGAAAGATTTTGTGACTGAGTACAAACATCTCAAAGCCAATGGTATCGTTTATAAAGGCCAGACTTACACTGTAAATATTAATGCTCTGATCTGTGACGCACTCGTGTTGAGGGAAGAATGGTTTTCAGTGATAAGGAATGCGCTTCTAGAACAGATGACAGTTTTTCCAGAGTTGAGTACAGGAACCACCAAACTGATGTCAGCCCCTTCATTGATGCAGGAATTCCTTGTGTTAGCACATTTGTATTGGATTATATGCATATGGTCTGCTTGGGAGTAGTTAGACGCCTCTTATTGTACTTGACTCGTGGCCCAAAAATATGTTGCTTATCTGTGAGACAAAAGGGTGACATTTCTAAAAAACTAGTTGCACTCAGAGGGAAGATGCCAAGTGAGTTTTCACGGCAGCCACGGGGCTTGCATGAAATGGATAGGTGGACAGCCACTGAACTACGGCAGTTTTTGTTGTACACTGGACCTGTGCTTTTAAAACCTGTGTTATCCCCTGTGAGATACAAACATTTCTTGTCCCTGACAGTAGCCATGTCAATAATGCTGGAGTCAGATGAGAGAATTCGAAAGGCCTATCTCCAATATGCTGACAAACTAATCAAACATTTTGTCATGCACCTGACCTGTATGGTAAAACCTTTCCTGTATACAATGTACATGGACTATCCCATC